CCCCCCGCACATTATTTTTTAATTGGGTGGCAGTGTTACTGAAATTGTGACATTGTCAAGACATGATTTTGTTTTACCATCAAGTGATAATAGAATGATTAGAACATAGTGGAAAGAGCATTAAACCTGGTTGCACAATAACTTTGGGTCCTCAGTTCATCTTTCCATAACTTAAATGACCTTGGGCATCACTTTCTCCCTGTGGCCTGAAATTAATATCTATGAAGTTTCTCCTTTGATTCTTGTTTCACATCAGTTCTAAAATACAAGGAAGTATACATGCATAGAGATGTATGTTTTTCTAGTCTTTACTCCTGAACAACAAAAAGTTGACCTTGTCCACTGGTATCTGTCAAAGGACAAGTAGGTGTTCTGGTTGGTTCCAGATAAACAATATTGAAAAGATACTACATTCTTTATTCTGCAGGATCAGTCTTTTGAAATGATTTTAAGCTCTCAAACTGTGTATTTATAAAGTAAGTGCACATGACTAATTTTATCTTATGAAATAACTTTGCTATTTACAATTTTTCAGGAGGTTGAAACAGAACAGTATTACAGTTTTTTTCTGGTAGAACTGAAAGAACGTGGTTATAATGGATTTTTTAGTCCTAAATCTAGAGCTAGGACAATGTCAGAACAAGAAAGAAAGCATGTTGATGGCTGTGCAATATTCTTCAAGACAGAAAAGTAAGTCATCTTAATTTTTAAAAAGAAAATTTTCTTTGTTTGCAGGGTGGGGACCAAGAGTATGAAAATTAGTTGGCAAAAGAGAAAATGGGGAATTCTGTTATTACTTAAGAAAACAATAGTTTTGACCTAGAGGGTTTTGTTTTATTTTGAATCATCAGAAATAATCTTGTTTTGGAGACATGTTGAAAGTGCTGCTGTTTCTTCAGGTGTTTAGTAGGGTTTAACTCCAATTGTTAATTGAAACACCTTGTAATTAACATTCCCTCCAGGATGGTAGTGGGATTCTTAAACCCATACTTTGGAAAAGACTATTTTAAAATTACAAGATGGAATATTCCAACACAAAACCTAAACAGAAGATGACTACATTATCTTAAGTTATAAAAGTTGAAATAAGGGTGTTATTTGTATCAGTAACAGACTGAGAACAACTTTAAATGGGTGTGGGAAGTTTGGTGTTAAATGTGGAAGATTTTCCATAATGTGATTTACATGCCATCATATCTGTTAAGGAAGTTTGGGAAAACAGCATTTCCTACAAAGCTAATATCCCGGTATTCCCAATTTTATGTGTGTGTGTGTGTGTTTGTTTTTGTTTTAGATTTACTTTGGTTCAGAAACACACTGTTGAATTTAATCAGCTAGCAATGGCAAATTCAGAAGGGTCTGAAGCTATGCTGAACAGAGTCATGACAAAAGATAACATTGGAGTTGCAGTACTACTAGAACTTCGAAAGGAATTGATTGAAATGTCATGTGAGTGACCTTTTCACTTCCTGTAAAATTGACCTCCAAAATTTAATAGGAAAAAAGAATTTGCTATGTAATAATAGATTGTCTAACACCTGAAGAAACTCAGTGAGAACTTAAATCATTTCTAAAATACCATATCTCGTTTTCTCTACTGAAAAGCTTAATTTGAGAAAGTATTGCCAAGAAAAGTGTTCCAAACCTTGAAAGGCATAAAGCTCCCAAGAATTTTTCACAGAAAAGAAAGGTTGAAGTAATAATTAGTTAAAATAACTGCTCAGAACTCCATGAACTTCTATAATTTCTTGGCAGCAAGGATTTCTGTAAGCTAACTTCTCTTCCTGACCCACTTGTAATCATTATTTTAAAGGTTTCGAGTTTTTGAAAAATCAGCCACTTATTTCAAATTAAAAAGTGTTATTTAGAGTGGCCGTCATGCTGATAACTGAAATTTCTGTCATAGGAACAGTTGGAATTGGGGATGTTTAACCTGAAGGATAGAGAAGATGAAGGATGGAACTTAATGAGCATCTTAAATACAGCTAAGGAAAGGAGGGTAGATTTAATTTTGCGAGGCTCAATTTAGTACATCTGAATTAAGACCAGAAGTTTCGAGGACACACAGCTATTTAAAACCCAAGCTTTTCCAAATAGAATGGGCTGTCTTTGATCAAGTGATGAATACCCTGTGCTAGAAGTACACAACCTGAGGTTTAAATGTCTATTTCTCAAGTTTGTTGTAGGGTAGATTAAGTCATTAGGTGGGATATTGCTAGGTAAATTTTAGTCTTTTTTATTCCTAAGACTCTGAGATACTTGGCTTTTCAGACTCTGTAAGAATATGTGGGCTAATAGATAGGTTTTGTCTATTTTCTTTTTATCTAATACAGCTGGAAAGCCACATCTTGGAACAGAAAAACAACTTATTCTTGTGGCTAATGCTCATATGCATTGGGACCCTGAATACTCTGATGTGAAGTTAGTCCAAACGATGATGTTTCTCTCAGAAGTGAAGAACATTATTGATAAAGCCTCACGAAGCCTCCACTCCAGTGTATTGGGAGAATTTGGAAATATTCCACTGGTGTTGTGTGCAGATCTTAATTCTTTGCCAGACTCTGGTAAGAAAAGAATGTTAGTCTGTGAATGCTTTTTGACCTAAAATGTTTTTGTAATGCATTGTTTCTGATAATTCCAAATTTAGTGAAAACAAATTCAGTTTGTAGTGGCAGCTGTGAATCAGGTTTCACATTTTTTTGTGTGGAGTAGGGGAACCATTTTGAAAATGAAATAGTATTATGAAAACCTCAGGAGGAAGGACATTAATCGTCTTTGATAAACATATACGTAATAACTTGAAATAACTCATTAAAGAACATACAAATTATGTTTCATTCTCCCCAGGTTATTATACAGGGGTTGGCAAAAGTCGGTTTACAGTTGTTTGTATGGAGAATAATACAATAATTAATAAGTAATACAAGAATAAACTGTGTTGTGTACTCACAACTGTAAACCAACTGTTGTCCACCCCTGTATATAATCCAGACTGCCTCTTTGGGATTCCATCATCTAATATGATCCAGTTAAAACTGACCATATATTACAGGATCTCAAGCTTTGATGGGCTTGATCAGAAAAATCCACCCAGGTGGATATTGAAATCCTTCATTTACACAGGAATGTCTTCCTTCTCCAGCAGTTCGGTTCTCAACCAAGTAGTTCACAGAAAAATGTCTCCGTTTGTCAAACCAAACTTCTAGTTTTCGACCAGACAACCCATTCATTCTGATACCTCAGCAGGACAGAAAGGGTCTCTCAGGCAACAAAGGAGACAATGCTTTTGTTGCTGACAGAATCAATGGTTAGCACAATTTTGAAACATAAAGAGGCCATCAAGAGTGCTAATGCTGCTAAGAGTGTGAAAAAAACAGTGATCACAGGCAGTTGTAGAGGTAGAAAAACTGTTGATTTGGGTAAACCGAAAGCAGTTAGTTGGTGACAGGTTTTCAGAGACAGTGCTATATGAACAAGCCAGGATGCTGCATGCTGACCTGAAAGACCCCCCTGGAATGTGTTCTGAAAGTGATTCCTTTAAGGCTAGTAGGGCATGGTTTGATAAATTTAAGAAAAGAAATGTTTATTTATAGGTTAAACAGTACATTAGACATGTACCGTATATAAGAAAGGTTGAAACGGAATCGTTTGGAGGTCTAGAACAGATTAATTCAATTTACATTATTTTTAATGAGAAAAAATGTTTGGGTTTTCAAACAAATCACTTCTCCAACAACCTTCCAGAATGAGTTAAGTTCAAGAACCAAAATTCCACTGTATTTCCTCTTTTTTATATTTCACCTCCTTGTTCATACTCTTTAATATCATGCATGCACATGAACACAGTGTGCACATGTTTGGAGTGGTAAAATTCAGTAGCACATCACTGCCATCAGATAGATAAGAGCCATTAATAAGATAGAAACTACATTAAAATTTGTTTTCAGGGAAAATAAAGGTATCTAAGATTCATAATTATTTAGTCTGTCTCATCAAGCTATCTGGGGATGGGACCGAAGCAGTTGAGGATTATTTCCTGGCAATTTCTCTGCGTGCTTCCCACCCTCTGTTTAGCTACAGAGTATCCTAGGGTCAAAGAGAGACTTGTCAAATCATACAGATTTAAAAACCCATATTTTTCTAATTAAAAAATGGGCAAAGGACCTGAATAGACACTTCTCCAAAGAGGACATACATATGGCTGAGAGACATATGAAAAAATGCTCAAGGTTACTAGTCATCAGAGAGATGCAAATTAAAACCACAATGAGGTATCACCTCACACCTGTCAGAATGGCTGCCATCAATAAATCAACAGCAAGTGCTGACGAGGGTGTGGAGAAAGGGGAACCCTGGTACACTGCTGGTGGGAATGCAGACAGGTGCAGCCACTATGGAAAACAGTATGGAGGTTCCTCAAGAAATTAAAATTGGAATTGCCTTTTGACCCAGCAATCCCACTTCTGGGAATATATTCTAAAAATCTCAAAACACCAGTCAGAAAGAATATATGCACCCCTATATCCATAGCAGTGCAATTTACAATAGCTAAGATCTAAAAACAGCCCAGGTTCCCATCAGATGAGTGGATAAAAAAGCTGTGGGACATTTACACCATGTAATACCACGTGGCTGTAAAAAAAAAGAAGGATCTCACACACTTTGCGGCAGCATGGAGGGACCTGGAGAATATTATGCTAGGGGAGATTAGCCAGTCAGAGAAAGACAAGTATCACATGACCTCACTTATATGTGGAATCTAACTGACAGACAAAATAGGACCAGAGGCTTGGGTACATGGAAACTGACTGGTAGATCTCAGAGGG